CCGCTCGGCGGCTCGAGCAGCCTTGGGGAGGAGGGAAATAATTTTAAGGGGAAAAAAAAAGAGGAATGAAACTTTTCCACAAAATTCCCTGCTCCGTGGTACGTCGCTGCTCAGCCCTGTCACCTTCACTAAAGCACAGATGGCAGCGTGCGTTTCACGTACTAGCTTCTGTCCTAGAGCAGGTCCAAAGTAATTGAGACTGATGGTTATTTTGCTTCCTATGTCATGTTGTAGTGAACGGTAAATTGTCATGACAACTGAAGGAATGAAACTTTTCCACAAAATTCCCTGCTCCGTGGTACGTCGCTGCTCAGCCCTGTCACCTTCACTAAAGCACAGATGGCAGCGTGCGTTTCACGTACTAGCTTCTGTCCTAGAGCAGGTCCAAAGTAATTGAGACTGATGGTTATTTTGCTTCCTATGTCATGTTGTAGTGAACGGTAAATTGTCATGACAACTGAAGACAGATATGCCACAGAGCTTAATGCCAGCAATCTCAGTTTCCCTAACTTTGTGGATATTCCTTATGCTTTTCTAGGTTGTGTGTGGCATAAAGGAGCCTGAAAATGTAAATAAAAAATGAGGCACAACTAAGTGGGAAGTAAGAAAAATATAGTCATTACAGAAGATATTTAACATATAGAGGATGTGCCCAGTTAATATGTTCACCTCTGTTACTTGTCTCTGTTTAATCAGATCTAAAGCACTATTAGTGCTTTTTAAAACAAACAAAGCAACCAAGACACACAGCCAGTTCTTGCTCAGATATTCTAGGTATTTCAGTAACTCAGCCTTACTATAACCTGGTGAGCAAATTACCTCATTCTTGTACGTCCTTCCTCACAGTTTGATACTTTTAGGAAGACAGCATTTAGTTGACTATTACTTTTTAGCTAAATCTATATGTCACTCACAGATTTTTTTTAGTGACTTGATGAGATTTCAGATTTTGAATGATAAGCAAACATGCTTTCTCTTGATATTCATTAAATGTGTATATCAGAAAATTCTTTGAGGCATAGTATAGCAGCAATGTAAGAAAGACTCCTCATTCTAGTTTATTTATAGTAAAATTGTATTATAAATACAACTAAATGCCCAATTTATGAGAAATATTACAACTTAATTGAACAGAACTATAAACAAGAAGCATAGATATAGATGATAAAAATTACTTGGGTGAATGGTTTCTAAAATTAATGGCGTATTTTACATTTAGCATTGAATACCTGTACTAATTCCCATGCTCTATTTTTTTTGTTTGTAGATCCTAGTAAATGTGGGCAATTTTTTCACGTTGGAGTCTGTCTTTGTAGCACCAAGAAAAGGAATTTACAGTTTCAGCTTTCACGTAATTAAAGTCTACCAGAGTCAAACAATCCAGGTACGTTGATGAAGAATCAAAAATGTTTTACGTAAGAAATTGTTTTTTATAGAAGAAAATTTTGCCTGAACACAATATTATTTAACACACTTCAAAGGAAAAATAGCTCAGCTCTTTACTGTGATCAGGTTGTGTACAGTCCTTATCAGTAGAGTGAACCCATTTAAACTGAACAGAGAGAGAGGCAGGATCGTCACCTGAGATAAACTGTCATGCATCACTTCACTATACCATAAAAGCTGAATATTTTGGATAATGTAAAGTATTACATAGATTGAATCATCAAAGGATAAAACACATTTCTAAATTTCAGTTATAAATACCTTTGAAGAACTGTGTTTTCTTGCAGAGTAAGCTCACTGTCTTGAGCGTAAGAGTTCTGGGGGCACATGCCATATTTTCTTACTTTGGTGTCTTTTGGTGACTTGGCTGTCAAATCCTGATGCCAGGTGTCTGCTGAGGAAGCCTCTTTGCCATGGTCCAAGATTAGCTAAGGCAGCCCATTTGCTCTGCAATAGCATGGAGATGGTGCATCTCTTTAGATGTCTTATGGGGAAGCCTTCTAGTAGTTCAAGCTTGTTGCATCACATCGTAAACATCTAATACACAGAAAATGTGTGATCCAGAGCTTCATTCTGCAGTTTAATAGCAGCTGAACTGCTTAATTAAATATCAGTATGTACCACATTAGAGGAAAACCTCCAAGTTCCTGAACATTGCCCCCCTGAGCCAGCAGTAAGTTCCTTAAAGTAATTTCCTTCATATTTGTCTCACATCAGACTAGTCTGTACATCCTCTACGACATACTGGCTTTTTAGGTCTGGATCAACACTTCCCCTGCACCCACCTGTGGGACAAGTGGTTCTATCTTGCTCCTGCGTGTAGCCTTCAGCGTACAGAGCTGAGATGAAAGCAGTTGCTATAGGAGGAGTGATCAGTCATTTCTAAGTGGCTCTAACCCAAACCCTGTGCCTTTGGTTGGCAGTAAAGCTCCTGAGAGAAGTACAAGTGGTAGAGAGAGTGGATGTGAGACATATTCATATCTCTGGTGAAATTTACCTTCAGCTTACAGTGAGAAATCTTGGTTTCATTCAGGTCAAAGAGAAAAGCCTCTGATGAAATACTGACCTTAATATGCTCAGGCTTGATTCCTTTCACTCTCTTACATGACAAGGGTTGAAATGGCCTAGAATAATTGTATATCTAATATCTATCTATACAATATCTATTGTATATCTAATATCTATCTAAATCTATCTAATATCTATCTAAAATATCTATTTGTAAGAAACACATCAAGGCTTGGATGGAAACCCAATAGAGGTGCTGGTGGCTCAGGCACCAGGACTCAAACAGGGGAACTCGGGGCTTGAAACAGTGAATGTGACAACATGTGGCATAACCTGGAATATTTCATAGGCTTTAAAAAGTGATGAAGAGATTTGGTTGGCTCTATTTTGGCACTGTTAACCTGAGACCATCCAGGGTATACCTGTGATGTGGCTGCTGCTGTAATAAAATAGCTGTGAGATTATAAACTGATCTGCAAGGAAACCTGACCTAGAGAGATGGTACAGAAAGAATGATACAAACCAAAAGAAGCAATGAGAAACCGCGTGATGCCTCCCCTCTCCTCCCTGCCTTTTTCTGTTTTTTGGGCTTTTTTTGCATGTGTCATAGCTAAGGTGTTTGTGTGTGTGGGGAGGGGAGGGCTGAAAGCCCTTTGCAGGGGAGCAAACAGAGCAAACCAGCTTGAGTCTCAGCCACACGCAGACCTGAACATCACTAAATCACCTGTAGGCTTCCCACATAAGTGATATTACCATGCCCCTGAAACATCTGTTAGTGCCATTACATATCATTAAACTGAAATTGGTTCCCTGGAGACAGCTGATTAAGTGGATTTCCCAGATAAGCGAATCCCAAATAAGGGCCAGATTCTGCTGCCCCGACTTATGCTGAACAGTAATTTATTCCACTGCAACTCCCATTAAAATTAATGGGAGCATATGCAAGGCCAGAATACTCAGTATGAATAAGCATTTCATAATTCACCTATCTGTGACTGCATTACAGCTGCTTAAAAAAGGAAAGAAAAGAAGAAACTAATAGTTTGTCTTTGGGGAAATGAAAACGCCTGGTTCTGACCATTCCCCCGGTCCCTGCCCATCTTTATTTACACCGTGTCTCTCTGTGTGGGGTTGTTTTCAGAGCAGAGCTGTGCTGCCTTCCAGAAGTATCTTACAGAAAAATGGATTCAGTAACGATGCACAATGCAGGAGCTCAGGGAGATGAGGGTCTGTGACAGACTAAAACTAAGGATGGGACATATATTTTGCTCTCCATGAGCAAAATTTTTTAAGCTCCCAGCATGCTGGGGGAGCTCTGAAATCTCATTAAGTGCCTATTTGGCAAACTTGGGTTCTATAAGACTTTATTCTATTAAATATATATATATATATTCGTTTTTTTTTTTGGCTAATATCTGTCTAAACAACCTGTGAAGGAGGCAAAGTGAAGCAATGCCAAGGGAGGTAACTCCCTGCCCTGTATTGCCCGAGTGTCAGCATGGACAGGGCTGTTTTATCAGCAATTAAAGACACACACATCTGTGAAAGGAAGCACAACATTATTTTTCACATCACCTGAGCCCAAAAAGCTGCAGTCAATGGATAGTGTCCCACGGACTTCGTAAAGCTGCAGATCAAGCCCATGAAAACAACAATGTACTTATCCATCCCTAATAAATTTAATTATTAGTTTTTTAAAAGCGATAAATAATAGGACTTTAATCAGACCCCTTACCCTGTGGGTAATGTTCAGTGATACCAGATGATGCTTTTTAGATAATTAGAGCTTTTCAATGTCTTTTTCTCTTGCAGGTTAATTTGATGCTAAATGGAAAACCGGTCATTTCTGCTTTTGCTGGAGACAAGGACGTCACACGTGAAGCTGCCACTAATGGAGTCCTGCTCTATCTAGACAAGGAGGATAAGGTTTACCTGAAACTGGAGAAAGGTAATCTGGTCGGCGGATGGCAATATTCTACATTTTCTGGCTTTCTGGTCTTTCCCCTGTAAAGTCAATTTTCCTGTGACATCCATCCAGATGTGGACTGATCATTGCCTCTGTTATATGAAGATCATTTTTGTCATCATGGGATTGATGTTTCTTTATTGGTTTTTCATGGGTGAATCTGGATTCTCTTTATGGATTTTGGCCCCATCTGAACTACTCAGAAGTTTCACAGAATCTTGTGTGTTTAAATGCAACATATTTGGATTAAGACTAAAGCAGACAATAAGTATCTATGCTTAATGTTACAGTCTAAAGCTGCCTGCAAGATTTATTCAGATTTCATTTATTGGACTTACTGGATTCGTGGGAGAAATGGATTTTCTTTAATTCGGCAAAGACTGGCAACCAGGTCTATAATTTAGAAGCGTTTGAGTTCAGACTTCAATCAAGAGTTAGTGTGTTGCTGCCAAAGAACTGTATATTGATATATTGGTTATACATGTTTTTGTTCACTGGGACTTAACTGACATGATTTATTCCATTGTCTTGAGAAAGGTAATTATTATTGATAAGTGATTGACTTTAATTCTCCTTTGTGTGTAGTCTGTCCGATGGTTCACTCATATATTTATGCTCTGTCATTGGTCACAAGGAAGTCTAGCCTACGTAAAGCTGAGGGGTCATGGCTGTATTTTAATTGGCTACGTAAGGTATTCCTATTTTCCACATGGTGTTTTCTAATAACAAGAACAGATTATAGTCATTAAAAAAAGAAACACTCTTACCAGGGTTAAAGGTGATCATTCAGGCACAGCTTTGCAAAACAGCTTTGCCCTGCAGGAAATCTCACACTTGTTCTTCAGCTTTAATTAACATGATTGATAATAACCACTCTATTAAAAACTTTAGGGATTCCTTCCTTAGACACAACATTTTATTAGCTGGAGATGAGATTCCCCTTGTTTGTAGTTACGTCTATTTTTGAAACCTTCTGTTGTATTAAAGTTATCATCTGATTTTGCCTTAATTCCACAAATGTATATAATTTTAGATCATATGTTTAATAAATACTAAATCCAAATAGCCGGTACTTAACTTGGTGCAATATCTTTGGGCTTTTTGTACAGATCATATGAATTCATAAATTTATTTATTATGTCATGATTACATAATAAAGATGAATATATGTTAGCTGAATTTTTGACCTTTGGAATTTGGAAGTCACTTTATGTTGTTTTTCTATTGGATGTAATTATTATATGCAAAGTGTAAGCTTTTGGGATTCACGGAAACTCCGGGGAGGCAGGCAAACTGTCATCATTCACTCTGGCAGAATCCTAGAGGTAATCTGCATGATCTAGAAATAATCTATGCATTTTATATGAAAACATTTAGACAGATATCCTGGATACACTGGAGTCTGTTAAGAATCACATTGATTCCTAAGAATTTTGGAGGAGATTTTATGCTTTAGGTTTTGCCATCAGCATTAAGCTCCGGTGTAATCAAATTGAATGCCAACTGAAAATGATTTTCACAGGCAGTGCTAATGAAACCTGCTTTCCTCATGCCCAGAACAGACGCTGACTTTGATGAAAATCTATTTTGCATATTGTGAAGCATGCATTTCTAAACTAGAAAATATATATTTGAGAGAAATTTTGGATGGCAGCATATTCAGCAAACCAGAACTTTCTCTAAAACCTGTTAAAAAATAAAATCTCTTCTTGATTAGTATTAGGCTTGGATTTGCCCTTTTGGGTAATCTCTTGCCAGCTTCACTGCATGCTAGCCAGGTGCAATGTATTAGGTTGCTCTACTCCTGTAAATTGATATTTCACTCATAAAGAGCTGAGGACACAGCTAGTTGATGCTCCCAATAAAACCGTCATGGAATCAAGGGCAAGAATTACGCCCAAATGCCTTATTTTTTCAGAACTAGAGCCAACATGTGGGGTTATTTAAAAAAAAAAAAAGAAGAATTTCGGGCTGATATGTGTGTGTTTGCGCTCTGGTAGAAAAAGCCAGGGGAAGAGAAGGTCAATTGCTGGACAGAGCATCATTTCTGTACAGGGTGCTGTGCTGTGCGGAGTACTGGAAAGGAAGGCATGGCCCCAGGGTGAATGATCTACATTTTGGAAAAATATAAACAAGTCTCCCATTACAATTAATCTATATTTGAGCAACATACCCCCTTGAAAAAGTGTGTATGTATATATAAATTATTATTATTAATAATAATAATAAAAGTAACTGCAGTGTATTATGTATAATATTAAGAAAGAAAGGTTATTTGTCATAGGAGTTGATTTCAGAGGGGGATATTATTTTTTTCTAGAAAATCATTAAAACCTGAAAGCTCATGTTATCCTTTGAGCTATATATTGATATATATATATATACACAGACACACGTAATGTGAAAGAAATATTGTTTCTAAACAGAAGAAAGAAAAATGCTATTAAAAATGTTAGTGTGCTTTTGAGAATGACCAAATGTATCTGATTTCTTCAGTTTGTAAACATGTAATCTCCTATAGCTGCAGTTAGCATTCAGCAAGAATACCAAAATATCTTGATATACTGTTGATTTCCCCTTGACAAAACATTACTGATTGCATCAGTCATTAACAGTTATTTAAACTTGAACTAGAGAGTCTAGGAAGTTATTCAATTAAGGAGATACCTCTAAATTGAGAATTACTAATTATCATGCTAATGAAAGGAACAAAAATATGCAGATAAGTGTAACAGCTTGTGATTGGTCTTTAGCTGATGTTAGGAACTGACTCAACTCAAAGGTGGCATCTGGAGATGAGCAAGTGGACACCGGCTCCCTTAACCTACATTTAAATATTTTAATAAGAAAGAACTCTTGTCTCCAGACTAAAGCTTGGGCTGTCTTCCAGATCCTAAGCTTATCTTCATGGTATTGTCTCACACGTCTGTTATTTTGGTAGAGTTTCTCCTGGAAAAAGCAGGTGGAACAGAGCCTGGGTTAGCTGGAGCTGTGGTTGGAGCTGACTGTTCTTCTCCCTCTCTTTTCCCATTCCTTTTCCTTCTCTCCTCCCATGTTAATGCTACAAGAGTTTTCTTGTGCTGAAGCAGTAGGTCAAGAGACACCTAAAATGTCAGTGGGTATTTATAGCTTTGATTTCTTTTTTTTTAATTATTATTAAACGAAAATGTTAAATTCTGGCAGAAGTTAACGCTGATAATTCCTTCGTGGCTGCTGTGCTGAACAGCACTGTAAAGGTTAGAGCTGAATTTCTGATCCTGTCCAATTTGATGATAGCCCTACTGATTTTGATGAGGGCAAAATCCCTCCCTCTCTGGGTAGCCATGCTGCAGAAGGTGATGAGAATCTAGGCCCATATCCTTCAACATATATTCTCTTTATTGCCAACAGCTTTGACAGGACAGTCAAGCACTCGAGAAAGCTTTTTGGCTGTGTGCAGCAGAAAAAAAAAGGTTACTTTCTGAGAATAAGCATCTCATATATCAGCATCACAGGCAGGTCTGTTTACAAAAGAAATCAGCATTTTAACCTGTATTTTATCTATATTTCTAGTTTATCCCTATTTTAGTATACAAATGAGGAAAAAGTAGAACCATATTGCCCTGCTTAGGTGATTGAAGTGTCTTTGGTAAAGCCAGGAATGTGGTGGAATCCCAAACACATCCTGTGTACTAAGCTACTCTTTCTTGTAGTATCCTATTTAGTAGGAAGAATTTAGGACATGTCAAATAATTCTGGAGGCGAAAGTGACATCTCGTTAAAGGACTTTGGTAACTTAAACCTTTTGGGAAAAGACACTGAGGTACCTTTGAAAATTTCGCAAGCAGTTTTCTTTTAAGAAAAGGAAAAACTGACTTTGAAGTACAGATAAGGAAAAAGTAACATTTCAAATTGGTTTATCTCATACAGAATTTTATATTTGCGAGCAGTAGGTCATTTTCCAATACTATTAAACCATTTACTGAGTGTTAATTAAATTACCTTTCCCATGTCCTTCCAGAGCAATTATTACAACCTCTGTGCTAGTAATGAGTGAATGGGGAAGGAACCCAGGAATTACTGTAACCTGAACGCAAATCCATCCCCTATCAGGGCTCTTCCCTCTTCAGTTTGCTGCGTTGCTCCTTTTTCTGATATGGTGCATTTTCTGGGAAAGGATGTTTTCAGGATGAACGATGGCATGGTGCTTTATTTCCTTTTCTGTATTATTTAGATCTCTGTTTCTAAAAATGTAGGTACAGTGAAATGGGCCAGTTTTAAGCACTTTGAGAAATTCAAAATTAGTCATTAACTCTCTTTTTTTAAACCCCAAAAGAACACATCTTTAGTGCAAGTAGTATTTTCACAAGCTGGATATAGGATAGTGAAGATGAATGCAAGAAGCACTATGTTGCAATCACAACAAGGAAGCTGAACTGCTAATATGAAATATGGGCTGAAGTGGAGAAACAGAGAAGATTTGTCCTACTGCTTTTGTAAGTGTTTCTGAGTTAGTAACATGCTTTACCTTAGCACTTCAGTTCCCCTTCTTATAGTAACATCAGTTTATAACATTCAGACTTTTTGTTTTTTAAAGACAATATTAACCAGAAGGCTCCGGGTAAATAAATGAAGATCCCCAGTGACAGAACTCATTGGTTGTCACATGCCCCAACAACATATATTTTGTATTATTGTCCAGACGGAAAAGGCTCCTTTGCGAAAATGCATTGTCTTAGACACTGAGCTGAGAAGTTATTTATCTGTTGCTGGTTAGCAATGGAGGAAAAAAGTCATCCCTATTCTAGAGCACTAAGGGGAATGCATACAAAGAGTAACGATAAAATCAGTCACTGTTATATAAGTGATGATGAGAATAATGGAAATGTGGCTTGAATAGTCTGTTTAGTGAAAGCTGTGATCTAAAGCATTTGATGGAAGCAATCACTATTTTAATCTTCACAGTTTGGGGGAAGGGAGAAAAAGCTAGCTGCATCATTTTTAAAAGATTCTTTTCTTTTTTCTTTTTTTTTCCTTTTGCTTTGTGGTTTAGCTTAGCTTAAAAAAAAAAAAAACAAAAAAACAATTCTGCCAGGGGACCAAGAGGGGAGGAAAATGGCAGAGTTCATTTCCATACAACTTAACCTAAATATGTTCTTGACCTGTTGTCCAGTCTAGTGGATTTGCCTGAGTGTGTTCTGCTTATGTGCGTAACATTTTTCTATGCTGCATGATACCCATTCTGTTAAGGCCACCATACTGTAATCTGATGGTTTTTATTCCTACTGGAGGAAACTAGATGTAGAAGCATAGTGCAGAGCACTGGAATTTGGCAAATAAAATAGCTTTATCTCTGTATTTACACGTGTGCCTGGATTTACTCCTACAAAGGAGGTCTCTGTCGTTCCTGGGGCATTTTTGGTGTAAAGGACATGTGTACAAATAGTCACACATTTGAAAATAAGCCAAGTGTGGGGGTATTTCTAAATTGCAGCTGGTATGGGAAACGCTGCACTCTGATCTCAGTTGGAGGGACTTTAAACGGCCCTGATGAAGCAGGCAGAGCTGCTTCATGAAACTCCAAGGTCATGCTGCAGGTCATGAAACTCCAAGGACATGAGATCTGAACACAGAAGGAGAGTCTATATTGACCCCACAACTGGAGTTTCTTTAGAGCTTTTGCATCAGAGTTGGGAGTCAGGCACGTCTTTAGCAGTCCTAGGGGTTTTATTTTACCTCTTTTCTTTGTAAATGAAGGTCTATTTACAAGGACCATATGGGATTCTCAAATAAAGGCGATCTTTAAAATGATCACTGTCTGAAAATAAATTTAAGAAAAAGGTCTTCAAAGCATATAGGGAGGCTAAATTTCCCTTAAATTGAAGGCATGCAATTAAGTAGAAAAAGCAGATTAAAATAAAGACACATCTGTGCTCTACCATATAACTAAACATAAAGGAGTTAAAATCTCTTCAGGCGCCCGTCCCATAGACCTGCCGAGCTCTGTGCACAGAAGAGCAGCTCCGTTGGTGGGTTATTCCCACCGTGCAGCAGGAGAAGCTGCCACGGGGCAGCCTCGCACAATGATGAGGTGGCTCCTGCTGATGGGGAGCATTTCTGCAGGAGAAGCTGAGCTCCGGAGCCTGAGCACTCTTGGGAAGCACAGGGATCAGAGTGGATCCTTTGGAGGAGCCCGACAGCCTTGGCCAGCTCGTGTGATGCCCTCACAGCAGGCTGCAAAACTCACTCGAAACCATTTACTATCAGGAAATGCCATTTGATTTTGATTATTATTTACAAGAAGCAGAAATGTTTTAGGAAATTGATGGGAAGAGGTAGGAAAGAGTTAGAACCAAAGTAAAGCAACTGAACTTCTGAAATAAGACATTTTGACTGGTCAGAAATGATTTTTGTCACCAGAATTCTATTTGGCTAAAAAAAAGATGCAATTTTGGAGTATGGTTTGGAGGAGTTTATTTCCAAAATTTTATTTTTTTAATCTGAAAGCTTTCCAACAGGTTTTCCAACAATCTTTCTTTTCATGCCATTAATCGATTTACTAAAGCATACAGAAGTGGTTGATTACAGTCTCCTGAA